CCGATGTTTAAAATAACTTGAACCTTTTCCGAAAAATTATAACAGTTTTATAATAAAATAGAAAATATTATAGCTAATTTGGATAATAATCATTATACTGCGAGTTTTATACCCTTATTTTATATTATATATATGTATTATTTTAAATGAAATTTTCTCTAATTAATATTTCTTCTATACGTATACAGAACGATAAGACTACCGTTTCTGTGAATCGTTAATCTCGTAAAAGCATATGAGCAGGCACGAATTCATTGACTAACTGAGTTGATGTATTTTAGGATACTCTGTCCGCAAACGACAAGTTTTGTTGGCACAATTCCCTCTTCGAAACGAACGAAGGAAAGATAGACATAGCTAGAAAAAGCAAGAGAGGGGGAAAGAGATTATATATGACTGTGTGTGTTAGTTTACGGATGGAAGGGAGAATCACGATCAATGACCAATCGAAAGTGAAGATCTTAATATGTATAAGCGTCCCGTTATTTAAGTAAAGAAAGCAAATCGATCTACTCTTATTAATCCTAGAGTCGATATTTCAACTTTCCTGTCTAAAAGTTAAGGATTGATACGTCGATTAGTTCGCTTTTTGCGCGGAAGAATCAATTGATGTGTTTCACCGTAGAGTGCATTTCGCCACGGGCGTTATTGATTTCTGTTCAGAAATTACATGACGATAACTCGTACACTCAATCATATATTGATCGAACCGGGAGCTTGCGTCAGCCTCGATTTCAAGCGTTACACGATATAATACCTCCATCCTAGAATCTCTCGGAAACGACTATTCCCCGAAATCACTAGAAATGCGTCGGTACGCTATTGAGTTTACAACAAAGATTGGCCAAGTGGATCGGAGATCACTTTGGGTATCTGTACGCAAACAGGAACCATTAAGCACCACGAATGGTACATTTACCCTATAACCGCCGTTAACAGCCGTGAAACGCACACGAATGCCGTCTATACGTAACCAAATCTTTCTTTGAAGTACCGACTCCAATCGTTTCGGATCCCGAATGCCTCGACTGTGCGGCGAACAGTCGAATACAGTTTGCCGCGCCTCGGTCACAGTTCCACATACGTATGCTCGTTCGGCCTCGTCCTCGTCTTGTCTCGTTCGCATTCGTGCTCAAGTGAATACACGGCACAATGGACGCACGCTTGTCACGTACATTGTAATTTCAGTAGTCCGTTTACGTTCGCCTCTTAATCGGGGCGTCGAGTTTCATTCGTTCGTTCATTCGTTCCCTCTAGCATTGTTCCAAGAAGAATTATCGACCCGCTTCTTGCTCTCGCTAATTATTACACAATACGTGTGCAATGATGCTTGGACAGAAAGATTTCAATGTACTCAGAAGCGCTGATCTCACTAATACGTGCCATGTACATATAAATATAAATGTACTGCAACGAATAGAATGAAGAATTTAATAGCACGCCTTCCTGTAATGCGATCGTTCAGTAAAGGGTCCGCTAATGAATCGATTATTACGGACCAACTCCCTCACCGAGAAACTCAACGATCATGGAGTGAACTTGGATCAGACTACATCATATTTTTTATCTGTATTTAAAGAATTGCCAATTTTATAACAAACGAGAAATAGACAGATGTAAAATTGAATGGTCCAAATAAATGAAATCCAAAATTCAAAATAAATTGTTCGAATGATCTGATGTATAATTGAATACTAGTCAAAATTATGTATCTGGCGTTCAAATCTTTCGATCCTGAGCAAAACCACTACCAATATGGGGGCCAAACCAAAATATCAAGGATGACCCAATGCTACCACAGGGTTGTACATTTTTTAATTCCTGTATTAACAGTTATATTTTTTAACTAACGATTAAATATTATTCAATCATAATCGAATTCAATCCTTAATTCGAATTTCTTATAATTTAGTTAGTTAAATAACTTTAATTCTTCATTAGCGAAGTTTGATTTAAGAATTAAACGTTAATTGATTTCCAATTGAATTAATGATTTAATGAATTATTTGCAATTCTGCATTAGTACGATAAAGTATCTCCTTACTGTAATTAACTAGGAATTCCTATTGTGCAGTCGATAGATCGGGAACTGGGCAGTCTGGAAGCTCGCCGAGGGTGACGCTTCGACTTAACCAGGTGCGAGGAACGAGGGATGAAAAGAAAGGAGGGGGTGCTGCTAACTCCCGTCAGGGTGGCATGAACGCACAAGTAAGTATTGTATCAATGTAATGATTTGGGAGGCCCGGAATTAAAATAAATATGGGGCCCATTTAAGGTTGATAATAGATACATCAACCACACTGTTTTCCCTAACCGAGTCACTATTTACGTCAACTTCTACTTCGTTTAACTGATTTCCAGTTTAAATCGTTTATAAAAATTAGCTGCACTCGTTTTTTCCTGAATCGTTTAACAAAAATTGACTTGGTCCTTGGTTTGTTTAAACGTTGCAAGATCGTAAAAATGACACAGTTAAAAGCCTGTTGATTAGCAGGCGTTAGGTACCGAGGTCACTATTGAACGACGATAAGTATTTCGCAAACTACACGCGATAATACAAGAAACATAACACACGGATATATACACATATATGTACATATAACAGACGGAGTCATATGAAAAATTATATTTCTGCTTTTATTATTTTAGTTTAAATTATATTATTATATTATAAATTATTATTATTATATATTTAATTAATAAATTATTTGACTGCGGATTTTATATCTTCATGAAATAATTGAGTGTGTTGGAAAAAACAGGCTTTAA